AACGCATGCGTCAAGGTCTAGGGATGTATAGTGTCATAAAAACACTGTTATTTATGGTGATGATGAGAACGTGGTCTTTGTTTGGTACAAAGGTCTGGGAGTGCCTATTTGACATCAATTGAAAGAGACAGGTATTAACCTGTGTGTTTGAAATACAGCGTGTTGTTATTGCTCTCAGATAAACAGAATTACCTCCTCTTAAAATCAAAGGTAATCTGTTTTACTTCAGTGAGATGTGGTGATGTCCACAGAGAACAAATCATTTTTGGCAAGTGGAGGAGGGATTTTCCTGGCAAGTTGGAAGAAGCATCAAAGGAAGAGAAGAGGGATGGGATGTAATACACCTGGTTTTAATCACACATAACAGTCAAGTTCCTCTGGACAGGACTATGGTCTGATATGCCATTGTAAATGCTCTGGGGAGCGTGGATTAAGAGAATGGAAAAAACAAGTGAATGGCATAAAGTACTCAGGGCACTCAGTGGAATAACTGGCAAAGCTTTTTTCAGTTGGCATTACACAGTGATATATTGCTCCTGTTAATGTAGCGCCCCAGTACCATGACTTTGATTTTTAATGGGTGTTTGGTTATCAAAGTCCATGCCTTTTTCTGGTTTTGACGGTCGCAGCTCCTCAGATCACACTGCACTTCTGTTTGACATTAACAATGAAGATGCTGAATTGGTTATAACAAGGATGCACTTTCATTCCCACCGGGGAGAGGGGAGACTCTCTGAAATATGAAGCCAGTTCAGCTCTGAGGTGGTCTGAATTGCTCTGGAGGTGCTAGCTTCTTCTTCTTGCCTGTCAAAGAACCTAAGGTGGTTGCTGCCTAGACCAGGCACACTGAAAGCTGCCTGAATGGATGGGGTAAGTCTGTAGAAAAAAAAAACTTGGGCAAATACTTCTTGACAGGACTGTTCCTCTTGAAATGACTGTTTTCTCTGGAAATTACAGACTTGTTTCACTAAATTTGGGGGCAGGGAATGTACCGTATTCTGTAGGAAACTAATGTTTCACTTCAACAATTATAATACTATATAACATATTGTATTATCATCTCACATAACATGTCGGTTCAGACTAGATTATATAAACATCCAAACAAGAAAGTCAAACTAAAAATATTTGCTATGATCATTTACAGGATTTCTGAAGCAAAGTATGTTAGAACATCCATTCAGCGATACGTTTCAAAATGATGGCTCTCTCTTCCAGTTAGAAATGAAAAGACACTTCTAATGTCTGAGTTGCTTTCAGAACATCAGCTTGAGCTTTGATGGTTGCTGGAGCTGCACACTTGGGATTGCTGTTCAGACTGCTGTAATAGTTGCTTCCTTACATTTTGTTTGGGTTGCAGAAGCATTTGGGGCTACTGTCAGGGCTTGAGGATCTCTTTTGCGAGTGACCTCACTTTCATATAATAAAGATAATACTTGGCCTTCAGTCACACAGAATAGAAGCCCTGGACCTGATATGGGGAAACCAACCATTTCCAAGAGCTTTGGTGGTGACATGGCAGAAGTGAGCTTTACTGCACTTTGGCTAAGCGTTTACTTGAGTAGTGGTTGCCCAGGAGAAACATCTGATTGAAGGACAAATTGGGCATTTCACTAATTACCTGTCCATGGTTAAAGAGGGCTTGAACTTGAAGGACCCTGAATGTTCTGTGAACCTTGCCTCAGCCAGGGTTTTGAGGTTGGATTAAATTTCTGGTAACGTCGAGATCAGGAACAAAATGAGCACCAAACAAATTCAAACTCCCACTGCAATCTGATGAGCTAAAGACTTCTTTAGATACAAGGTTTAAATAACCTGAAAGTTGAGGCACAGCAACTGAGTTGATTATCCAGTCTTTGAACAACAAAGAGCAACTGATACAGAGATGATTTCTAAGCAAGATCTTCTGTTTGAAACTCGTGATTCATTATTATTATTATTATATACTATGGTAAAGTCCAGAGAGTCCTGAACTTTTAAATGAAGAATGGCCCTTACCCAAATTCATGAACATTTAAGGATGGCCTTCACTGGTTGACTGGGAGTTCTTGAATTAAAATGTACCTTGGAAAAGGAGGAAACCAAAATTATATTATACAGTCTGCAGCAATCATCTCATGCATTTAAGCCCCTGGAGGGCTTGTGTTCCTTTACTTTTGAGGTCCATAATGTCACCAGAAAAGCTTTAATATTTTACTGTTGAAGCAACGTAGCCATGAAACATTAATTTCCAGGAATGTGGGAACCATGAAATATGGGTTTTCCTACTAAATTAAGATTTTACTTGTCTCTGTTCTCGCATAGTCAAAGGAATCACTTTCCATTATATTTTTGTGTATATGTATTCTAGAAATTCAAATAGGAAAGATGTACAAAATACAGGAACAATATTTTTACCTTGAAAAATGTATTTCACCGATAACAGTACCAGTCATTTATATTCTACCTTTCATCCTAAACTACATTACATTCTATATTCATCTTGGAACCACGTCTTTCATTACTGAACTGCACCCGCTCTGGTGTGTAAGTGAACAGCTGATACATTCTGCCCTGTGAGATGTGGCAGCTGTTTAGATTTGTATAAACTTTTCTGCTTCCCTACTTCCAAAATGCCGTTCTCTCACCATTGTAGTGCCCAACACCATTCAGATATGCCTGGCAGAGACACGATTGTACCAGGATCTCCAGCAGTCCCCAAGTATTCTGCACCATGGCAGACGTCTCTGGCTGGAAGAAAAAAATGGTGAAGGACAAATTAATTTATAACCCACATAGTGGCCCTTTAAACATTCTCCTGTTATTGCTAACCAGCTTTACTAACTGTAGGGCAGATGCCTCTTTCCTGTAAAACAAGTGACTGGGTTTCCTTCAGAGAGCCGCGCATACTAATATGCACGCAAAGACCACACTAGCTTTTAGCAGCCTCGTCAGAATGAAAGCATTGTAGTGGCTTAAAGGGAATTTGAAAAACTTAGTTCTGGGGACAATTCCAGAATGTAAGTGTTCACCTAGGGTTTTTAACAATGTTATATACTAAATTTACGTCCATTACCAGTTGATTAGAATGGAAGAATTACCCAAAACATTCCAGAAGCATCTGTGTCATGGGAACCATAGGTTTCCAGGTTATATGACACGCCAGAATATTCACCAAATCACCAGGGTTGTTTTCCTTAATGCTACAATTAGCGATGGCACATTAAGAGAACAATTGCTGGATAAGATTTGACAGCAGGAAGCCCTCTGCCATAAATTGGAAATTCTCAACATATGCAACCATATTGCTAGAGAAGATGAGTTATGCAATTAAAACCAAAACTGGAGATTTGTTATCAAAGGATGGCAAAGTGTACTAAAACCCAGCTGAGAGGTTCCCTGATCTCGTTATCTTCAGGCTTCTATGTGAGTTAATCTAACACAGATGACAATATTTGACACAGACAATCGTGCCTACAGTCATGTGGAGGATGTTTTATAGAACCTCTTTCCATCAGAACATGGAGGTTTGTCATAATGCAACTCTTTAAAAGGTCTGATAAGTTTTGCCAGAATTGCATTTCAGGGGAATAAAACACAATAAAAACACTGACAGAGTAAGAATAGTCCATTCTAACATTACTATTAATTTCTAAAATTTTGGACAAGCCATATTTAATTTTCTTTTTACTGCATTTAATAATATTTTAAGTGCAAATTATTTTAAAAGTCCAATTGAAAAGAAATATTTGATTTTGTCTGAATGAAAAGTTTTAATCAACTTGGAAAACTCTGTGGTTGTGTGGTTTTCCTTCACAAAGAATTTCAAAATTCTCCCTTCCTGTCCTCATTCAGAATGAAGCAGAATTTCAAATTCTGATTTTTTTTGCACAATGAACTTCTGTCCTCCCACAGCACATTCTGTGCCTATATGAAGAGGACAAGAAGCTTAATGTGTAATTTCTGTGAGCCTTAAGGAGATGGTATGTGTGTTAGTATTTTCAAATCCAGGCTTATACAGCTGCTGTTTGAATATAAATCATAGATGCTTTTGGGTTACACTAACACCCTCTGCAGTTTAGTACAGTTGTTAATTAATACAATACTGTATTAGTTCTTCTTACAGTCTTACTATTAACACCCCATGAAATCCCATTAGCTCTGCATATGGTGCCAGACTTGTTCTGAATGTGGGAAAGAAAGAAATTTACAGTGGAATGAATAATAAAAAGAAGCTTTCAAGTGGTTTCCACTGTGAACATTTTGAAAAAATATTTTCCAGAATGTAATTTGTGGGGCAATCTTTTCACAAAATTTCAATGCAAACATGCATATATTTGTCATCTAAGTTTTCCCCTGGAGTGTGAAAACCCTTACGCACTGCTATTGTTCTATGACAGAAACATCAGGAAGATAAAGTAGTTCCTAAAAATGGAAAATTAACCAGGTTCTCCTAACTGACAGAAATGAAAAAAAAAACCCCAAAAACTGCATAGCTGATGCCAACAGATGGATAAAACTTTCCTTACATTTTTGGTTTAAATATTTTAAAGTACAGATAGTGATGACAGTCAAAATTTGGGTTAGGTTTTCCAGAAGTTATTTGAATTTCCTGCTTCAGTGATCTGACAGATCCTTCTTGAATTCCAAGAAGAAACCAGGCTTATTTGTTAACACCTCATACAGAACACTCCAAAATGTATTAGCCACTACAGAAACTTCAGACCTAATTATTTTCTATATTAGTTTTGTCCAGTATTGACTCCTTAATGAAAGAGAGATCCGACAAGGAGATGTTAGAAAGTCTTTTAAAAATGAGGAGAATGATAAAGCAGGCAGGATTTAGCAGACGACTATTCCCTGGAGAAGCTGGCTCAGTTGTAATTCTGTCCTCATCCTTTAGGAGTTGCTGCCCTAGACTTGTCGTAGCAGAGCACGGTTAGGAGGGTTCTAGTAGACGCTTTTCTCTTTCTGAGTCCTGTGGTTCATCCATAGTCCAGTCTCTGCAGTCTCACTATAAATCAGGAATGGCCAGGGCCTTTCTGCATGGCCAACATCCAGACAGGGACACACTGCTCAGGGAATCCCTCCTGCCTCTCCTCTTGTAGGATGGTGAGTCCGCTCATTTCAATGAGGCTGTGGAGGATGTTCAGGTCTCGGATCACACTACTATCCAGACAATCCAGGATACAGCCCTCCCTGGCTACATTGTCCTTGAGAATGATAACACCATTATCCTTCAAGCCATTCTGGCACCGGATCAGAAACTCCAGGAGATCTTTATCTGTCAGATAGCCTACAGATGAAAAGATGGAAAATAGATTGCTATGATTGCTATTAACCATTCAAAGAGACTCCCCCTGTACACATCAGAATGGTGCCTTGATCTGATACTCTATTTATTGCAGGATAAGTTCTAGTCCTGCCAGATTGAATTATGAAATCTTGGGCAAATCAACCAGATCAACAGTTACAAACTCAAATCAATATTTAGGATCCATATTAATAGTAGCAACAGATGTGGACAGAAGTCAATGGGAATAGTGAAGAAAATACTGGGTGCTGAAGGGTTCTTTAATCTGGTGGTTAAAGTCATAATAAGAATCAGTGGCAGGAAGCTGGAGCCAAACAAATTCATATTGGAAATAAACGACAACTGTTTAACAGTGTAAGTAATTACCCATTGGAAACTACCAACAGAAGTGGTGTTTACCACCTCTTGAAGTCCTCAAATCAAGCATGGTTGAATTTCTCAAGATACATTTTAATTGAACACAAACTACTGGTTCAGTACAAGGGTAAGGGAATTATTATAACAGCTTGTGATATAGAGTAGGTCAAACTAGATAATCTAACAGTCCCTTCTGTCTTTTAATCCTACAAATCTCTGTAACTTTGTGTAACATTGTGTACCCATCAAAGGAGTTCTGGATCAAAGATCCAGCGAGGAATGCAAGACCTTCCAAACTGCCAAATAAAGTCTGTTGTGATTTCTGCATATACCCTATCTATTTTAAAATAGTACTTTTTTCAATATGTTATTGAGATTGTGATTTTTATCCTTCCTTCTCAAAGATCAGCACTTATGTTATGTTGAGATCAGTAGTGCAGGGCTCAGAGAAAAGCAAAATGAGAACTCTCACATGTGAAACATCTAAAATGAATTAACAAGGACAGGTGGTCAGAAACTGAATGAAAAACTTGAAAAAAATAATCGTTTGTATTTTCTAGTCAAAATATTTAGTTTTCTTGATGGAAGATTTAAACTTTTATAAATGGAAGTTGTCATTTCAAACCCACATTTTGACACAGTACGTCAGGTTTCTTTAACCACTCCCCAAAAAAAGAGAAAAGCCCCAAAGCCTAAAGCTGAATAACATTCAAGTTGAAGGAAAATGGTAATTTCTATATGAAATGTAAACTTGCACTTTCATTATTTTATAAAATAACAGCCTGGCTTCACAGACTTACGCATTGGCAAGATTCACTGAAGATTTTGAACACCTAATCTGGAACTGAATGTTCTCTTAACTTAGCTTTTAGCCCACTTTCCTAAGAAAATGAGATCTTCATGGTGTTGCTCTCTACCATACAGTCCTGCCCTTGCTCCACCAAAAAGCATTGAGCTTGTTGGCATATTTCAGCCAAATTCAAGATAGGGGTAGAAGTTTGATTAATACTTAAGCTCACTACCTATTTCATTGAAATTGATAGAGGAAGGAGATTCAGATCTGTGTCTATGCTAAACAGAAGGCATATGCTCCCTTCCTTAGCAGCCACATAGCTGATCAGCACAGCTTCAGACAAGTCTTAGCTCATTTAGTCTCATATTGACTCAGATTTGCTCAAAAGATGAGGCAGGAGCTACATTTACTGCAATGACTGGTTATTCCAGAAAAGCAAAAATACGAAGGAAAACGATACTGTTCTGAAGCAATTTACTTGTACAGCGATAACGACCTATTCTAAGCAGTTCAGTTTCATTAGTTTTTAAGACTACGTGTAGGGGACAAATAAGTGTTCCTGAATAAAAGAAAATCTCGTGTGTGAATCTCTCTATCTTTCTTTTTGTCTAGCAAGAAACTGTCTCCAGGGTTTTGGAGAGAAGGAGTTGTTCAGGCCTCTTCTTGCACTTTAGAATACTGACTTCTGCCAGCTGAAACTGCACCATGGACACTTAGGTTCACAGATTAGGAGAAAAACTTGTTTCTGGAAGGAGAGTTAGGCACTGCAGCAGGTTTTCTTACACGAGCGGGTACTGTGGGACATAGCTAAGTGAACACATTTGATAAGCACCTGTGCATGTATAAGACATGATCTGGTTTACAGGCATTGGTGATTTCACTATGGCTTTTTTCAAATGGTTTCCTGCAATACCACCAAGTGTCGATAATCATCAGATTCACATATCCCTGCTCACAGGTGAGGCCAACCCTATGTGTCTGTCTGCAGCACTGGCAACTAAGAAGGAGGATACCTGCTCAAGAAAACCCATATATAAGGCCTACTCCTCAGCTGCACCTTAGCCTGCAGGCTAGAACATGTAACTTCCTCCAGCAGGGGACCTGAAAACAACCAACTTGATTTGTACCCACTGTGCATGCAGCTGGGGAGAGCTCTCAGAAGTCTCTTGTGAGATTTTAAGAAGCATTCCCAAAGATTTGAGAACCTCCTTTTACAGCTGCACCATTCTTCTGACATAAACTTTAGCACAGGCTGTATAGCTCTCTGAGATGCTGGGCTGGATGAATCATGCTGAACTAACCTGAAACCCACTGAATCCAGATGACATCATATCTTTGTGGGGCTGGAGTGAATTCCTGGAGGCTTTTGCAATAATACATCTCTACTCTGTCCTCCTTGCCCTTCAGGTAGTTCGGGACCTCAGCCAGGAAATTCTCCATCATATCCACCAGTTCCACGCTCTTGAAAACTGGTAACAGGACATGCTTGCTGATGCGACCTATCCCAGAGCCACAGTCCAGGGCGCGGTTGGTGCCAGCTTTCCCCACCCCCTGTGGGATACAAGAAAATAATTTGAAATCTGAAAAATACCACCTGAAAGATCATAGCAACTGTGTTACTCGCCATAGCCTTTAGTCAATCAAGCCTAGTGTCTTGTCTCTTTATTTGTGCAAGGCTGTTGCAAGACTGATAAGAACCCGGGACAGTATCAATACAGCTTTGGGTACCTATGTGTGAGCTGAGCTGGGCTGCTATGTTCCCAGGTTGCTCTTGATGGGACTTCCTCATGGCAGCCCTGCATTTATTGCTGTACAGTAAGTTTTTGCTTGGTATAAGAAGAGACATAATCTTTCACAAGCTCCTAGCTTTCTCAGGAAGATACACTGGTCTTTGTAAAGTCCTTGCAACTTAATCTGTCAAGTATTCATACCTCGCAGCCGACTACATGGCTAGATAAGCCTCATTCTGAGCCCTGTAAAGGCCTAACAAAAAAGTAAGCATACAACAAATACTGAACGCAAAAAGCAACTTCTGCAGCACAGAACTCCCAAGGTGCTCATGGACATCTCTGCAGATACATGGCATCCTTGGGATCAGAGTATTTTTCAAACCAAGCTTTGTTTCAACAAAGATCTTGGATTTGTAGGTACCTTATGACAACTCAAAGAGTTTGGACTGGAGCATATTCAGAATTTCTTTATTAGGCATAGAGACAAGAAAGATGATTGAGTAGATGTTCCTTAACTGTTCTTTTTTTCTTCATAAATATCATCTCTGGACAGAGATCAGACATGAAAAAATGTGGAACAAAGGCTACGTCTATGAGAAAATAATGAGTCACTGTAAAAGGAGCTTTATAATGAAAGCTGTATTTCACCCCTAAAGCTTCCATTCTAGCTATAAAGAGGCTTTTAAGAGCCTGCTGCTGTTCTGTAAAACAGAAATTTTAAGTCTGTACATGCACTGACTGTAGGATTGGAGCTCCCCTGGCCAAAGTTATCTGTTAAACAAACATATTAAAAGCAAATTTAAACACCTTTTCCCTTTCCCCTGGAACTGAGTGTTGAAGTGAAAGTTATGGGCCAAAGTCCCTGCTGCAACTTCACTGCTCTTAAAGGAAATAAGCCCAGGAAGAATCTTGCTCTTCCTGCTTATTGGGAGATCCCCTCTGTAATGACCAAGCATAAATCACGTAACTCACTGCTTTTTTGGCCTTGGTTCAGTGGGTAATTCAGTAGATTATTAAGGTCAAAGGACAGTACTGTCAATGACATGACTATGAATAGCCTGGCTGAGCATCTGGTTACACAGAGTAACTGTAGAAAGAGCAAAAGGACCTCAAAGGCTCTCACCAGTCTCCAGGGCTGATGGCCCCAATTTGTATAGCCAGGAAGATTAATCTCCTGATGTGTTCAAGAGTCCACAGGCCTTCAACCCTATTGGACTCTGGAGACTACCTGTTTGTAGTTAGCCAGAAAATGTGAGACATTCTTCATTCACAGGCTGCACTTAGGAGCGTGTGACTTTTACTGAGGACCAGACTAAGCTGTAACAAGGAGTTCATGAAAGGAGAAGGAACTGTGTTTTGGATCTGTGGAAGGTGGATTTCCATATTGTTTGCTGGCAGATACATACAGGCCTACACTGATGTGATTAAGTAAAAATCTTTGAGAAAGCTGGTGAGAGAACCAGGATGATTTACCAAAACAACTAACAGAATTCAACAAAAAGCCATATAACTTCTTTGACGTTTGTGTTTCAGAAAACCTATAGTCATAGTACCTCACTTGAAACAGGGAATTCATCTCCTATGATGTGTCACAGCAAGGACTTCTGATGACACATCTCCATTTGCCATTGAGAAGAAGGAAAGGGAACAATCATGGGACACGAAGCTTGATCCCACACTTTGCTGAAAGGGAGCAAGAGCATCAGGCAGGCAGTTGAGAAGCCCTGTGAAGCACCACGGCTCCGTTTGTAATGAAAATGTTGACATAATTCCATGTTCAGCTAATATATTTTCAGTTTGGAAGTGCTCTGAGCTTTGACAGGGTATTAACATTTTCTTTGGAAAGCAATCATTTTCCCAAAAGCCTAATTGAGTTGAAAATCAGACTCCTTATTTAAAAAAATAGTGTAAGTGAAAATTCTAAGCCAGAACAGGCTTCAGAATTTAAGATTGACTGCTCCTCTGATTACCTTACTCAGAATCACTATCATTTAGGACACATACACATGCAAAAATTCTTCTGTAAAGCTAAATAGGGCACTCACAAATTTCCTTAGGGATAAAAGATCTGTGGAATATGTTCCTGATGCTACTTCAGGTCTTGGAAGGGCGGGAAGACAGTGTAGATATGTAGGATAAAAAAGAGATCAGAGTTCAAGATATAGAAAAAAATCACAGTGGTTTTCTTTCTAAATTAAAAACAAAAAAATAAAAATCAGTTTTTCAACTTCTCTTCTACCCCCCTGATCAAACAGGAGAAAAATCACTTTCAAGAAGCTTTTCATTCAGCAAGTAACCAATCAGGCAGGTGAACTGAGGGCAAGAAAGGGAGCAAGAATTTAGGGCAGAAAAGGAGCGATAAAGTCAATATAACCTCTGTCTGTATTATTTCACACACCTATAGCTCACAACTGTTCCTGAATTAATGGTTTCTTTGTTTTCTTTATTTCCTTTTTTACACATTACCTCCGGATTAGGCACTTGAAAATACAGTGTCTACGCAGACATCAAGGCTTTAACTGGCATTAATACATTGCCATAAATATGCAGTGCTATAGCTCTGCTGATAACCCTTCAAGTATGACTGTACCTAAGACAGAGTATAGCTTGTCTGTACAGCACTGTTGGCTCAGGTAATGTTGCTCTTGGTTTGAGTTCTGCCCACACACACATAAAACCTCTTAACTTGAGCACAGTGGCACTTTTAACTCAGTTTGACTCGCCTGGGAAGGAGACAGGCTGAAATACAAGTGAAGTCCTCAGTCCTTTCTATAATTCCTTCCATGTGCCCAGGCAAGATAAATTCTCCAACGGTAAAGAAATCTGTAGCTCAGTTTACAGTGGTGCTAAGAATCATGCTAAGAAATGCCATACATGAAGGTATGCAACATCAGTCATGTAAGGGAAATGTCACTGTGTGGCATTTCCACACCAGCCAAACTAACTGAGGAGGGGTAATTTGAGTGGAACTGGGCAACTGTTTTTTAAGGAGCGCTAGTTTTGCCAGAAAATAAAGTTTTGGAAGAATAAAACTCTCTGTGAAATTGATATTTCAAATCTAGAGAATAGTTATAGCCAAAAAACATGGGAAAGAATGCTGAAAATGTCAAGATACTTCTTTTTCACGACTTTCAAGGAAAAAAAAAAAAACTTGTCAACTTTTCATTTCTAAACAGCATTTTTCATTTTGGAACTGACTTGAACTCTTGAAAACAAAGGGAAATTTTTTTCAGAGGGTAAAACAATAAAAAAAGTTAAGTAAAGTATGTTCAGTTGATCTGAAACTAATTTTCCTATTTTCTGATTTTGTTAAATTTCTCTCCAAAAAAGAAATTGTAGTTTATATTAGGGTGAACCAAATTGCTTTTTTCTGTCTTGATCACCTTACTGGAAAAAAAAAATTATTCATAGCTCCATAAACTTGGGAAGACATAACTCAAATTAGCTTTACAATAAACTCACTACTACAGAAAGCCAGTAAATATCTGTATCTAGTTGAGCAGGATTCAAATTGCAGTAGTAAGAAAGGAAAAAAAAAAGCATAAGTAACACAACCAATTGACTGTATCTCAACAGAGGACAGGCTCTAAAAAACTAAATCAGAATTAGCAAAATGAGCAGATTTCTTTCCGTTCCTTTTTTTTTTTCCCTTGTTTGATCTTGGCCATTCAGAGTATCCTTTCTATCCCTGGCTAATAATAGGAGTGGGAACACTGCTCTGGAGTATTTTGTATCTGTCATCACACCTGATGTATTGGGTATGATTTCTCTTTGGCATGTGAAACTCTGCTACAGACTGTACTTCTTTCCTTTTCAGGTCTTGGAGATGAGAAAGTGTAACAGTGTGATATAAACCTGCCGTTCAGGAAACTGAATCTATATGATGTCTAGGAAGCGTGAAATCTTTCCCTGAGTACATGCTTATACACCACCTGAATTCCACAAACGTCCTTGAAACAAGACTTCAGTAAAATGTAAGGAATATGCCTTGAGCTGGCTCTAGGCTTATAAGTTGTATTTAATTTTTTCTGAAAATGTCATTTTACCACCACGTTCAGCTTCCTTGCTGAATTTCCTTTGTATTTTCTTATTTTGTGTTTGTAGAAAGCCTGATACAGCGAGGCTTTGAAATTTCGTGAAGCCTCTTTGCATTAGCGTTAATACGAATGACTGGTAATAAAAAAAATGTAGTTGTTCACTTGTGTTTTGCTGGCTCACTGCCCCAAAAGCCTCCCTCTGTCAACTACAGCAAACTTTGCCATCATTTGCCCTTCATTGCTATACAGGATTTCTATCTGTTGTTAAGCTACTCTCATTTTCTACCCCAATCTATTTAAACTGTGCCCTTTTTCTATACACAATATCTAATTAACCTACTGAGGCTTTTTTTTTTTTCACAGTAGATCATTACGATTATAAAAAGGTTATCTGGCTATTCCAAATTTGCAAATTTGAGCAGAAAATGAAAGATCTATGGTAGTGTTATATAGAACTAGCCATTTTGTGAGCAAGAGAACTTAAGAAATTTGTTTTCTTGTAGCTTTGTGGGTTCTTCAGCATCTAATACTGTTGTTGAGCTAATTTAGTGGGCTTTTCCCCTGGGAAGAGAGAAGGGTGGTGAGAAAACCATCAGGCCACACTTTTAAAGATTTGCAGATTCCCGCAGACACATTTAGGCATCAACAGGACTTTCAGAAACCTAAGTGCCAAAATGATATTGCTATTGTAGGTGCTTTTAAATCCCACTTGGCATCTCTTTGCATCTCAGGTCAAAGCAGACCTTTGAAGACATTTACAGACCTTTAGAAATATGCCTGCAAAGGTCCCCAGTGACACTGGAATGTTCAAGAAAAAGGTATTTTTTCTAATGGGTAGCTTATTCTATACACTCCTAATGCTCAGGGCGAGGACAAGGAGGGCTGGGTTTTGTTGCAGCATTCTCAGAAATATCTATAAATAAGCAAAACAGAAACTTGGCATTTAGACTCAGCTCCTATCCCAAATGGACTGCAGGAATTTGCGCAGACAAATCTCCCACTGAAGCCAGCAAGGATTTTATCATGAAAGGTCCCGGACCTGCACTGAGAATTAATCTCCCACCCAAACACAGTTATAAGAACTCCTTGCACAATCCTCTTTGCAGCCTTGGAGCATAAGAAAAGGATGCAAAACAGGTAAATAATGACATGAGGCCAGGCAAAATGTATATTCATGATTGTGCATGACCTAGCAGAATACATTACTACATCCAATGACAGTAAGTTATGACCTGTGACTGCATACCAAATATGACATATGGTGCCGTTTAAAATACACATGACTGGGCACAGTGCATGTCATTTATGACACATCACCACTGTTTCTTGCAAAAGATGGGATTAAATGACTCACCCCAACAAACTTCCTGAGAAACTCCCTGGAGGATTCAATGTCTGTATTGGAGAGCTCAATGTAGTCTCCCATCATGCCCTCTTCTGTGGCTGGCACCTCCCGGTAGAAGTGTTTGGCCCTGGCGTAGAACTGCATCTCCCCATTGATAACTTGACTTGTCAAAGCGTAAAGTTTCACTGCAAGTAGATAAATTACTATTTTATTGTTAATGACAGATATTTCTGGTTTAGTTTATTGCTGCGGAAGCACAATGGCCAAGATCTATACACTTAAGTTGAGCCTTCAAATCATCAAACCTCTGTTTGTAAAGCAAAGGTGGAAGGAAAGGTGTTGGATTTAATCCCACAAGACCTTGAAGGTACACAGCCCTCCTTGGGGAAATGTGGTGCTTCCCAGGCTGAGACATTGTTTTTGTCACCAGACTATGTTTTCACGTCAGTGAAAAATCATTTCAAGTTTGAAGTGAACATGCATGCCAAAGAGAACAAGCGGTTTGATTTGCTCCCAGAAAAGCAGTGGGCGGCATTTATGGCTATCATTTCCACTATCACAAAACTAACTGTTCTGCAGATTTCCATATATGCTTTCTAGCCATTGACAGCTGCATGAAGAGTGCACCAAGAGTGGATGAATGAGGCACTTGCTCTGGTTTATTTTTAGTGATACTGTACAGTCTGTGGCACTGCAAGTAAGGTGAACCAAAGAGCAGATGGTAGTCTCAGGTCTAAATGAGTATACTGGGGGGAGACAATCCTAAATTGTCATCTGTCACAGATCAAGGAGCGCGATAATCAGTGGGTGATATACTGGAAAGTTTCTGTGTGCCAGAGGCTTGGATGTTTCTTTTCATTGCTTGGCCATTTTGCTGGTAATATACAACAATCGTAAGTCTGAAGCTGTTTTATTAAAACCTGTGAGCTTTGCTGGGTAAAGGGCTATTTTCCCCTATTCTTTAAAAAACTGAGGTCTATCCTCTGCATCCTGGGTTTTTCTATATGCAACATGCATCGGCATAGCAAAAGTAGTTATGCTTTGCAGCTCAAAAGTTTGGATTGAGTCAGGGCATAAACAGTTTGCTTGGAAACCAGCACCTCTTACTATCTCATGCACACATACAGGTGTCCAGACATTTTCCTCTACGGAGGACACACAGCTATTCCCAGACAGACCTTCCAACTAAAACACAACTACAAGCCTGTCTAGGAAAGCTAAGCAATAAGGAGGGATAGAGTCACACTGGGAACAAATCTTTGCAAGCACCACCTTGCAGCACGAGACCAGCTCTGCTGCAGATTCCCAGCGTGCTCAAGGAACTGGAAACGAGCCGGCAGCAAACATCTTTTGGGTTAATAACAATGGAAAGGGAGAGCTCCCTGCTGGCTGTGTACACAGAAGGACCAGGGAGCAGCGCTTTGTCGCTGCATCTTTAAACATCCACAGAAGCACTGCCGGTTGCTCTGGGAAGGGTCTGAACAGGCCATGCCTTGCTTACGCCGGCTGGGGAGCAGGAATTATGCCCTCTACACAGAGGATGAGAGCTAGGCCAGGGGCCCTGAATATAAGCCTGGAATGTATTTATTGAGGGCAAGCAAGCTCAGCAGGGAATGATAAGTGTGTGCCTGCCCATCCTCAGCAGGAGAATGACATTTTGGAGGCAAATGAGGGGGGGACAAAGGAAGTAGGATGAGGAATAATTACCACCAAGGACCCCTCGGAACAGAATAGTGCTATTGGGTTACACATAAGCAGCATGCCCGGCATATCCTTCATCCAACAAAAGCAGCATTACCAGCCCCTCTTGTCATCACCTGCTTAAGTCAACTGCCGAACGGATACTATTAAAGCTTTAATCCATTACACATTTATGTTATGCCTGAGAAATTTATACCACAAGAAGCACTGAGCCCAGCAAGGGTCAAACCTGGGAGTTTTACACACTCCACTGATTATATTCACATACTCAGAAGAAACCATTAAGCTGAAGAAATTAATATGAAGGGGGCAGCAGCCAACCCCCAGCAGAACTTGGCCAGGGTGGCTTCCAGAGCCTGGGAAAAGAACTCCAACGGTGGCTGGGATTCCTCCAGGAAATGATCTCCATCTTCCCCCCGGAGTGGCATCATCTTCTTTTCTCTATGTCTTTTTTTTCTCCATTTCAGATGCCAGCCTGTCTGGTGAACAGAACCCAATCCCCCGCGTTGGCTTTGCAAGCTCTTCCATATAAGAGTCTAGTGATGATTTTTAGGGCTTGTTTAATGGACCTATCAAGGGACAGTGATTTATCCCAACCTGCTAGATTGAAGAGAAAGGGACTTACAGGCTGTCTAGGACACTAGCCAGCCACTAGGACAGTATTTACAGGCACACTAGGACAGGGTGCTGCAGGCAGCTGGCAGCATGAACAACAAATATTCAGTCCTTCTACTTAAAACATGAGCCTGACGCAAGGCAATGCACGGGGATCTGTAGTGTGTGCTCTCAGATTTCTCACTCAGAACCAGTGTCAGGCTCGCAGAATGCCTGCCAGGACTTGCATGCATTCACCAGCTGACTGGGCTCCTCCCTGGCCAGCTGGGGCCCCAGAGCCCTCCCTTACGTGCTGGCATCTGAAAACAGCTCTGGTCTCAGCATCCATAGGGTTTTCTCTACCCATCAAACTTTGCAAAGATCTTTTTATGCAAGTCCCCCACCTGAGGGCATGCCATGACACCAGCTAACATAAAGGGTGGTACTGTACCCAAAGTCTTCTCCTGCGGATGCACAGAGTCTCACTCGCACAGTGTGCAATCTATGCAGATGACTTCCACTTCTTGGTCCCTCAGTGTTACTCCTCCCTCTCATAAATTTGCAACACTGCCAACTCACCCAATTTTCCTGACACAGCCAATCAGCCTCAGCTCTGATCTGCCTCACAGCTGTGCCTGGCATGCAGGCTCTAGCAGCAGGACCAGAGGGAGAGGGAGGTTTGCCAGCTTGCAGGAATCTGCCCCAAAAGAGAAGTTCGAGGAGGCACACATGTCCTTGGTGGCAGTTAGGATTGCAGCTCTGCTCCAGCGTGCCTCCCCCTCATCGCAGGCTTTGTCTGGCCAGAGGCATCTCCCTTTCCATGACCCGTGTGGGACTATCTATCTCGTGCATCAGGAAATGAAATACTTGTGAGGTCTGTTACGGATATGCAGCCTGATTTCAATGAACTTTGTAAAGTAGGGCATAGGCAGGATAGGATGATGGAGGCTGCAAGTCTCTCGGAGCTTGGGGGAAGAGGGAGCAGCTGTCTTTCACAGACAAGGTTTTCAGTGTTAAGGCAGGTGACTTGTAAGGTTTAAGGTTAGAAATGTGTTTCTAGTAAAGTAAGAAGAAACTTTTTTTTATGGCACGCTTGGTCTCTCAGCTGAATCTGCTGGCAAGTCCCCCAAGTGAAGATGGCTAAAACAAACCCACTGCAAAAGCAGGCTGAGAACAGGACCTGGCTCCTTAAAGGTCACTGTACAATCATGAGATGTTAATAATTTTCAGTTGCTGCAAACAGGGTCTGGATGCAGACTGGCTATCTACAGCTGAATGCCATACCCTGGACTAGACAAACAGTATCTACCTAAGCCCTTTTGCCCTGAAAAGTTCAAAACATTATCTTTAATATTTTCTTATGGATCTGTTAATTATTTTTTTTCCCAGTGCATCTGATCTAAATGTCTAAAGAAATGGACCACTTAATACATAAGACAGGGTGCAATCCCAACCTGCAGTAGACTGTCTTACGGGTCTTGGTTGCAGGGTTTACTCAGATAAATTTCCCTGGCAGAAGTAAATGTTGCAAGTAATTTTTTTGAAGTTTTTATTTGTGAACATTATTTTGTGGCTGCAACTGTTTTCTGCAAGATATTGAACTAATTCCAGTTTGGCTGAGTATTCCATTTTAAATGCAACATCTGCTTTGTGCATCAGTTGAAAAATAGTTATCTGGGTGCAGGATAGAATTCACCTCTCTACTGTGGTCCGAGAACCATTTAAATTCTGTTTTATAGAACATGAACATCAGCCCACCCCCAAAGCAAATTTTACTTACAGACACGTGCCTCACACATGGGAATATCTGTCTCTAGGGACCAATCATCTAAGTTTTTCACTGCAGATCTCACCCCACTGGCACTGAGTCCCACAGCCCATGTAAACACGTGCATGATTTCCAGCATCCATTTTAGCTCCATTAAAGCCCACTAGGCTTAAGGGCATTCACACACATTTAAGTACATTGTTGGATCAGGGCCTAACGTTACTCATGTCTTTTATTTATAAATGTTACCCTGGTCTGTAAAAGCGACATGTTACTCTTAACAGGCTGTGATACCAGATATGCTCAGCTCATAAGTAAACATGCCTAAAAGTGTTCCACCACTGAACCTACTAGCAATGGAGTCGGGGGAGCATGAAGTTAGCATAGCTTGAAGCAAGCTTTCTACCTTGCTGACCCTGCTGGCCCTCGGCAGCACTGCAAGTTTCAATGTGAGGCTTGATTTCAGTGTTGTTATTCACATTTAGGGTTAAGCATACACTTAACTACCCTGCAAGGTCACAGTCCTAGTGTTGCTTTAGTTGTTTAATACTGTTTGCACAGAGATGCCTGGATCTAGTCTTGAAGCTTGAGAAGTTCAGTACATTTCTGCTGAGTTCCACTCTGAACTGGAAAATGTCATTCTGCAGAGATCTTCAGACCCACCACATTCTGGCCTCTCCATCACAGAGAGCATGGGATGACAGGATAATCCAGGTTGGAAGGGACCTAAGGAGGTCTCTAGTCCAAACTTCTGCTCGAAGAAGGGACAGACATGAGGTCAGATGAGATTGATCAGGACTTTATTCAACTGGGTTTTGAAAGCCTCCAGTGATGGAGAATTGTATGACCTCCCTGGGCAACCTGTTCCAATGCCTGACTGTCCTCACGGGTAAAGAGTTTTTCCTTTTAGCCAGTCTGAACTTCTTTTGTTTCCATTTATGGCCACTGTGTCTTGTCTTCCTGCCTCACAACACTGTACTCAGCTCCATCTTCTTCAAGATCTTCTTGTAGGTACTGGCAGGCTTGGACTCCCTGATACTTGGTCTCCCTGAAGCTTTCTCTTCTGGCTGAACATGCCCCATTCCCATAGTCTCTCTCCATAGGGTACATGCTCCAGTTCCCTCACCGCCTTGAAAGTCATCCAACTCACTCCATGTCCTTTCCTGTATTGGGAGTTCAAGACTCCATGCATATGGTCTAACGACTGCTGCACAAAAGGGGATAATCACTTCCCTCAATCAACTAGGTATGCTTGTGTTAATACAGCTCAGAATATTGTTGACCTTTGCTGCCAGGACACACTGCTCGTTCATGTTCGGTTGCTGTCTACCAAAACCCTATCAGCAGGGCTGCTCCCCAGCCAGCTACTACCCAGCTCGTGTTGCTGTTGCCAAAGGTTCTTCCTTTCCAGGTGCAGGACTTGGCATTTGCCTTTGAATTTGAATTTCACTAGGTTCCCACTGTCTCTTTCCTCCAACCTCTTTAAGTGCCTCTGGATGGCAGTTCTGACCTAAAACTTGTGGACAAGTCCTGACCAGTTGGCTGCAATCTGCAAATGTGATGAGCAAGCAGTCCTTCACCTCCTCCAGGTTATTGATAAAGATGTTAAACAGGAGAGGTCCCAGGACAGACCCTTGCAGTACCTCCACTGATCTCGAAATTTGACCACGACTTTCTGACCTCAATCACCCAACCACTTTTCACCCATCTGATTGTCCACCCATCCAGACTGTGACATCCTACCGTGCTGTGAAGTTTCTTGGATGTGTATTCACAGCACATGAGCTACCCTGCAGTACCTGTCCTTATGTACACTTTTACTCCATGACAATAATCATGGAGTAACAGACATACTGCATGTTCACATGAAGGCTGTACTCACAGTACCGCTTCCATGGAGTCAAATTAATTTGGATATGCTGGCAAGAAACTCGAAAACTCTTTAGTGAAGTTTTAATGATTCAGGTCATGAAAAACCTGGCAGAGGGGATCTTTAGTCTGATAGGAACAATTTATGAAGTTTCTTGGCTGGGAATGGAAATCCAAATAAAATTCAGACAAGGAATAAAATATAGTTTTACAAGAGTGAAGCAATTAGGCCTGGAAACAGCTTAATGATGGACCGATGGATTCTCAGTCATTTGCAGCCCTTAAACCAAGGTATTTTTGTCTTCATAAATATATACTGTGACCCAGTCATGTTACAAGCATGATGCAGGAACTTTTATGTGAAATTCTAAGCTAGATGTTCATAATGGTACCCTCTAGCCTTAAAATGATCTATTAGTACTTACACTAACAGTTACATTGTAGGAAATCCTGCTCAGTTTCTAATATGTTATGTTTATTTTCAAAACAAATGAAAGAATAACATTTTCATAGACTACTTTAGATTACAGCGACCCATAATTGAGTTTCCTTCCTTTCCATCTTTCCTTCCTTTCCATTGTTCACAGCTACCTACCACTAGGGATAGTAGTATTTACCTTCCATGTTTCATTTTAAATAGCTGCAGATATTGCTGTATGTGAAAAGCTACATCAAAATACTACAATAACATGGAAACGCTTTTTCTCTTTACAGGACTCATGAATTCTACCATCTTGAGTAGAGTTCTCACTGGGGTCTGTATAGTTTCACACAATCAGGTAAGATAATCTACTTGTCCAAACGGATCTTTCAATTAGGAAGGAGCCCTCAAGAATTCACTGTGAAGAGCACATCCTTTCAATCTTAAATTCCTACAATTCTAACACTGAGTGGAGGCTGAATAATTCTGCTTAAAAACTGGCATGCTAACGTAATACAGACTCAAGTCAAATCTACTTTTTAGCTATAGTGTCCTGGGGAAATTTTGGTTCTTATTCAGGGTCAAATTTTCATAAGAAATGAACATTCATTTTCTGCATCAAAAAAGAAAAAAAGTTTTGGCATCCTGTACCAGAGGCTTTCGCTGAAATTTGGCTATAAACAAACATTTTAGAAGCATTTTCCTCCCAGAAAACAAACAGACAGCCTGCTGCAAAGATCTGGATTACAGAAGCTCTTTAAAAAAAATTTAAAATCATTACCTTCCAAGCAGTTGTCCAAAACAATACAGATGACAAGGCTAAGGATACGGTGAATGACAACAAAACAGGTATCAGGCAACTGAAAGTAAGGTCTGTCAGCTCCGCTAGTTTTGCATTTGTCCTTCCAGGTTCCCAACAGATCAATTCATGTTTTACTTAAATGGTGACCAAAAAAAAAAAAAGGTACCATCTGCCAGAAACCAAACTTTCTTTCACTATTTTGGTCTCTCCCTTGCCCCCCTCTAACAATCTGTGGAGTATTTAGATAAAACAACAGGGTACTGAAATAGAGGGAGCTGAGAGAGTGTACCAAATGGTTTAGCTAGCACTGTTGTTTCTCTAGCTGGACTTCTCAAAACTACTACTTATTGTCATTAATAGGTCTGCACTCTACCACTGAACATGATACGGCTTTCCAGAGCATGGTCACACACACACACAGACGCTCCTCCCCACCAGTTACTCACCCAGGGGAAGCTTTTCCAGCAGATAAAGGTAACTCTGAAAGAAATCATTTCGGATTGCCCTATGCAAGTCGAAGGACATACTGTGCCGACAGAGTTCTTCATCTGTTTTGTGCCAGCGTGACTTAAAGGCCAAATGTGCTGCTTTATATGCCATGATGAAAAGTTTCTTGCAAGGGTGGACAGTTTCTGTGGCTGTTGCTCTCCGGAGGATCTGTCCTTCCGAAGAGGCAGAGGCAGCGTCATTTAAATTGTGGCAATGTGCTGTCATTCTATATTGGGGTGTGTGTCTAGAGCAGTGCAGGGGGTGGAGGCGGGCAAGCGAGGAGTGAGAAATGCTGGCTGTTGGCACTGGCTCAGAGTAATCTCTGGAGTGTCATCCTCTGAAATGAGCAGGTGCTGGGAAGTGATAAAAAACTCAACCAGGAAATTGCTTAGCCAGGGTAAAAGTATATCGACTCCAAAAAAGAGTGGCTTTAATTCAATTACACTTTTCCTAATTTATTCAGCCTTCACATCAAAGGAACTCAGATATAATCCAGGATCTCCCATCTCTCTCTTCTACATCTCACAGGGTGATTTTGTTTCTCTGTCTCTCCTTCGCCATTTGTTTTTCAGTCTAGGGGATCCAAGAGGAAGGCCAGAAGACAGAACATGGACATGCCTCTACACAAACTTAATGTCCTAACAACACTGCTACTGTGTATGGCAGGGCAAGCCACGCTCTATGCACTACAGTCTGCCTGGGTTCATTTAATCTGTTTAAATGGCACAGACTGTCTCATCAGCAGAGGCTAGCTGGAATAAGTTGCTGTCTGGGAACACAGGAATGGTAAAGCCAGGGAAAGGTAAGAGCTTTTTGCTTCAACTAACAAAATACACAGAAGAAGAAAAGGAGATAAACTGCCCATTAACAAACTTAGCCCTATGCAAGTCGGAGGACATACTGTGCCAACAGAGTTCTTCATCTGTTTTGTGCCAGAGCGACTTAAAGGCCAAATGTGCTGCCTTTTTAGCTGGAAAAGAGAAGGAGATTCAGGCCACTACAGTGGGCAAAAGTCTAGAAGAGGGGGAGTAGGGTAAGAAGCTGAAATGCTTCCAGGATGTAGAATGCTAAGCTGATAAAGGGGATGTATATCATAAGTATGTCCCATCCCAGAGAAGGATCAGGCCCTCAAGGGACAAGGAGAGACAGGTACTGCTTCAAATCCTTGTTTGCCACTTGGTAATTCAGGCACTCGGTGTGGTACAGCTTCAAGCCTCCTCAGTTGTACAGGTACCTGGCAACGGGATGGGGGCTTTGTACTGACTGCACTGACCTCCACACATTGTGCTCATGAGGCTTTCCCCTTTTCACGTGTTTATTCCAGCTGTCCGCAGTGTAGGCACACTGTAACACAGCAACACACGGTCAGAAAGTTGGATGTTTTCAACACAAAAGGGCTGCCATACGTCCTGAGCAGTACTGCAATTCCTGACAAACATAGAATCATAGAATGGTTTAGGCTGGAAGGGATCTTGAAGATCATCTAGTTCCAACTCCCCTGCAGGGGCAGGGACACCTTCCACTAGACCAGGTTGCTCAAAGCCCCATCCAACATGGCCTTGAACACTTCCAGGGATGGGGCCTCCATAGCTTCCCTGGGCAATTTGTTACAGTGCCTCACCACGCTCAGAGTGAAATTTTTTTTCCTAATATCTATTCTAAATCTACCCTCTTCCAGTTTGAAGCCATTACCCCTCATACTATCACTACATGCCCTTGTAAGAAGTCCCTCTCCAGCTTTCTTGTAGGCCCCCTTCAGACACTGGAAGGTCTACGCGGAATCTTCTCTCCTCCAGGCCGAACAACCCCAACTCTCTCAGCCTGTCTTTATAGAGAGGTGCTCCAGCCCTCTGATCATCTTCATGGCCCTCCTCTGGACCCGCTCCAACAGGTCCATGTCCTTCTTATGTTGAGGGGTCCAGAGCCGGACATAGTATTTCAGGTGTGGTCTCATGAGAGTGGAGTAGAGGGGCAGAATCACCTCCCTCAACCTGCTGGCCACACTTCTTTTGATGCAGCCTAGGCTAACGGTTGGCCTTCTGGGCTGCGAGCACACATTGCCGGCTCATGTTGAGCTTCTCATCAACCAACACCCCCAAGTCCTTCTCCTTAGGGCTGCTCTCCATCTATTCTCTGCCCATCTGATCAAGCCTGACGTCTGACCAAGCTTCTGAGAACAGAACAAAGAAGACCTAGCCTCCACCAAGGAAAATCGCTAGTAATTTGACTGCAGCAGTTCATTCTTTAAAGGGACTCTCTGTCTATATCAGATGATGCTAAGCAGCATTTAGCAATGCATCAATTCAAACATATTTTTACAGAATCACAGAATGGTCAGGGTTGGAAGGGACCTCTGGAGATCATCTAGTCCAACCCCCGACTTGCTTCCTTGGAGCAGTCAATCCTTGCTTTCCAACATGACTTGCTTCCTTGGAGCAGTCAATCTCTGTATCTCTGCTTTGATATTACTTATTAAAAGTATTTAGCAGCAAAACCATCCCTGGCTATTACCGCCTTTCTTGTTTCCCCAACTACCATCCTGTACTAGTCATTCTCACCTAACTGCATTGGCATGCTGCTCCTCCAGTTGTTCCAGTCTACATGATTGTGCAAACATGTTGGTGAACAGTTCAGTGAATAAGTTAATTCAGAAAAATATACTTATTTTTCTTTCCAGTTGGATCATTTCTCCAATCCAGCCCATAGCTGACACAAGGGAATTTGTCATGTGCTACAATATGGGTGCTGGACCAGCCCCCTGGGATGGAAGTGTGGAGGAGGTAACCATACAGCCATAATACAGTGGCCTTACCTCCTCCCTGTATCTTGTCAGAGAGGTGTGCTGGAGGTGGTTCCACGACAGCCAAAGGTAATCTAAGTACTGGAATATATGCCTCTACACTCCCACCTGTCTTTGCTCACACATTCCTGTTGTTGGGGTCTCTGCTGAGCCCTTTCAGCTTGCTACATCAATTGGCTTTTTCTTTGTGGTCAGCACTGTGAACCAGCTCGGTGCAGAGCTTACAATTGCCAGAAAAGTGCAAGAAGGGAGGCAGAAACATGCCTTGGAGCATGGGGTGGGGAGCGTGGGATCATGGCAGTGGTTATATCAGCTCTGGAGCCACTGCACCAAAGTCTGAGCCCTTCCTTGAACAGAGGGCAGTGCTCTTCACCCAGCCTTAGAAACTTCAGCCATTCTTTTACTTACTCCATCTCAAATTTCTTCCTGGTTATGTATCTATCAGACAAGCATAAGGCTCTCTCCAACTAATTCTGAAATATCTGGGCCCAGACACAATCCCGGTGTATCTCTTGGTTTTCTCACAAATCTGGCCCTTTCTCTTTGCTTATCTATTTTTAGCCACTCGCCAGTTAGTGTGCCAGGAACGGATGTGTCAAGACAGCATGTTAATGCTTTGGAAAGATGTTGCACAAGTTCACTTTGTCACCGACAAAAGACACCCCAAGGAACTCAGATCCCACCTGTTCCACATTTGACACCACATTTCACATTTGTCATGGCTGTAGTTTTGGCAATGCCCATTGTGTAACGAAGTGACCTCTATGCTTAGAGATGGCAGCAACTCCAAGCATGAAACCTAAGCCCTGGCATGTCCTAGTGGAGTCAAACGCTGGGAGAGCACTGTGGAGGGTGCTGGGACCACAGCCCCAGCGCTTCCCTTAACTTTGACAGTCATGAAGTCCACAGGTGCACAGGCCTTTATGTTCACTAGGAGGAGATGAAGTGCAAAAGCAGAAAAGGGCACAGTTTCTCCTGCCTTCCGCGCACAAGTGGGGCTTAAATCTCTCCTTGGGTTCCCTGCAGCCTACAGAGTGCCCCAGTGACTGTGAGTCCAGTGAAGCTCTCTCAATTTACACCCTCTGAGAATGTGGCCAATTATGACAGTGAATACATACGCACGAGAAATGGCGTATTTCAGGGCCACTCCTTAACTTTTTAATTCCCTGCTACTGATCTTCTCATAACATACTCCTAGACCACTTTCCTTAGGAAAAAACATATGTGCAATAAGGTTGTGTATGTGTCTAAGACTTTTATTACCCCATCACCAAACATTTAAACCTACCTATCTCAAACAAATCCCAGAACTACTTCAAAACTTGCATCAAAACAGCAGATTGGGCAGAGGGACAGATCTCATCCTGGTGTCACTCAGCAAAGTGAGTTTTGCTCTTCTGAAACACTGTAAAACCCATAAGGAGGGACAGGAATGGGTACATCTGCATGTCTCCTTCCAAGGTACCATTCTCAGACATCCAACACAAATGTGTCAGAAATAACAGTTCACAGGATTAGATTTTCAGGCTGAATGTTGTTGTAACTCTTTTTGATAAATTAGTGGTGGGTTTGACTCACAGTAGTCCTGCCCCACACAAAAAGAGTGAAGATCTACAGAAGGCTGCATAAACACTATGCAGCTCTGCCTGGCCTTGGGCATGCTGCAGGTGCTGAGCAGCGGGAAGAGGGCAGCCAGGGATGCTGCCAAAGAGAAGGAAGGCAAGGACACCAACTCCCTTGTCCTCATCTGGCCCTGTGGCTCATGTGTTGTCACTTTCCAGTGAGTCTCGGTGCCATGTCCCACCGGCAGGGCTGGGCAGTGCCTCTGTCCTGCCCCACAGAGTTCTGTCCTGCCTTTGTGGTCGTCCCCACAGGGCAGAGCTGTGCCAGAGCCTGCCTCTGCCCACAGACTGAGGAGCAGCAGGCACTCAGGCTGTTTATCCTCTGTTTCTGCAGCTCCCAGGCGGTGAAGGAGCAGGTCAGTGTGCTTCTTGGGTAAGCCCTGCCTGGCAGTGAAGCCTGGGGAACCCATGCTCACATCACAGGGGGACGCTCCAGGCGTAGCCTTACCATGTGGAACCACCACTCCTCACCTGAGGAGAGGTGCCCCCATGGCTGCAGGCAGTTCTTGCACGGGCAGAGCTGGCAGAGCTGCTTTGCCCAGCTGTGTCCAGCCAACAGCCTGTGTCCAGCACAGCCCCATCCTCACTACTGCTGCTGCTCTCCACTTGGCTGCCAGGTGGTACCCAGCTGCTTTCGGGCAACTTGGAAGTGCTTCCCAGGCTGGCAGGAGAGGGAAAAGGCAGCTTGGGTCTCACACAGCTCTTTCTCTCCCCCTTCCCCATGCACAGGCCACCAGAAGGAGTGGAGGGAGCACAGGTGACCCAGCTGCCCTCCATC